ACCCATATTTTCTTACGGAATACCCCCTCCCCCATTAAAAAATCTAAAATTCTTAACAAAATAAAAGTTCTACTAGATTCATGAGCGTCTCGTGAAAATGAATTGTGCTGCGAGCAGAGTTAGCAGAATTGTCGAAAACAGGGAAGATCCCTGCAAGGATAACTAGTGAGCAGCAGTACTCAGAAGACAACTACTAAGACTTTTAAGAGAAAGAGATAATTTGGCGGGTTTACGCAACACCGACGACACCGACCGGTCCGGTCCCTGCCTACAAACAGCTGTTTTCAGTTACAGCTTCACGTGGATTTTCAGGGGTAATCATTCGTTACTAAATAAACTTTTTAACATTTTTACTGGGTTTAGTTTTTGAACTATCAAGAATTTCAAAAATGATATCATTATTTAAGAGAAATGCGGAAAAAATAGTACGATCGGACAGACGGTACTTTTTCTTCGGTCCCACAATACAATTCCGTCCTCAGGGGCGTACGAGGGGGGGCGGGCCCCCTGACCCCCCTGAAGGAGGCACCCATTTAAAAAATTCTCTAACATCTTACTATGCCCTTAACTAAAAATGTTTCATTAAAAATCTTTAAACAATACCAATTCCAGGTTGTGTATAGATCGTATATAGATCGTGATATGATATAACGTATAAATCATGATATATCAAATTTATATTTATATACACAGACTACACTGTTATTGTAACGTAACGTACAAAAACGTACATTTTACGTTACGTTACACTATCGTTGACATCTCTAACATACACTAGGGTACAGGAAATAATTCGGTTTCCTTTTGCGTTTTATCTTTTGTCGCGTTTGATCTTAAAAACATTTCGTAATTGAAAATTTTGATTCAAGGATGTCTTGATTTTCAAGTCTGTTTATAATTTTGATGACAATAAAGTTTTGCTTTAATTCTGTCATAATTCAGTTATTTATCAAAATATTTTTAAGAGTTCAGGATCTGAATTCAGCAAACTTCCAAGAAAATGATTGTAATGATTTTAATTATAAAATAACAAACTATGCATATTGTACAGAAGTTTAATGGCTTTAAAGCTGGACACATTAATCAAGAATATGAAGAATCAATTTATTAGCCATGACCTTGATGTGTAGAGTTTTATTTTAAGATCAAATATTATCAAGAGTTTTTGTCAAGGATATCCTTTTTACTTTTCAGGGTCGTTCTGCTTTTGTTCAATTTCTAAAAAAATGTATCAGTTTTTACGTGAATGAAAAGGCGGAATTAATTGCTTTTTTATTTCTTAACAACAGCAGAATAAGGCACTTTCTTGAAAAAGTTTACAAGATTAAATAATATTAACATAAAAAAATTGTTTAAGATTAACAAAAAGAGTGAAACTAGTTTAAAGTAAAAAAGACATTTGGTAAAATGTTTTTGTTTCAAAGGATGGTTAATTTTTTGTATATTTATAATCATTGCACCATGCACCATGCACTTTGCACCATGAGCCATACCTTTACCATCAGGTTTTTTCAAAGGGGAGGGGAGCAAGACCCCCTCCCCCCCCCTCCCAGGCTAATGCCCAGTATCACTGAACGTATATTACACAATAGTATGCATGGTAACAAAGATGAAAACGAAAAGTAGTTACCCTTTAAACATGACATAAATTGTTTATTAAGCAGCTGTACATAATTTCAGACTTTTAAAATTGCTTTGAAAAGCATAAAAAAGTAATTTAAGATTCAATAAAATTAGCTGCGAACGTCTGAAAGGGTTTTAAGGCCTCAAATTTGGTTGAAGTTTTTTTTTATGGGGACCATTGATATTTGGACCGTAAAAATGCATACTAGGGGATTGTAAATTAAAGCCGACTTAAGGAACATAGGAACATTAACTACTATATATTGTTTATATCATAGAACTAGAAATAGGATCAAAGCCATTTTTAGGATCACATGACCATTTATGACAGGATCATTAGTAGGCACAAAGGATGATTGACATGATTGTAGGGCCAAAGGACAATGCTTAAAAAAAGACCTTTACAATATGAGTATCACAATATTTGAGGTTTCTGTTCGATCTCCTCTGCAGGATGAAATATTTTAACTCTGTAGAGTAAATATTCTAGACGATACATCTCTACTGGTGTCACGTAGTGGAACGAGATCGGAAAGTCGGAAGCGCAGTTCATGAGAAATTTTTCGCGGCATTCAAGACTATGCGATCTCCACCAACTATCAGTCGAATTTAGAATTTTTTCATTTATAAAAAGGGATTCAAATCCACTGTTGTTGGAATTTCAAGTAGGCCTTTAAAGGGACAGACTGGCTATGTAAGGTATTTAAACTAAGTATGCAGTGTTGTGGACAAATTCCCTATAATTGTACTTTGAATTTTAGCAGTGTAAGTAATAATGCAACATCTTATCATGTAACATGTCATCATAAAGTAAAAACAAAATTATCTAATATTACATCAAATTATGACAAATATAAAATTTCTTGAAAATGTTAAATATCTTCAAGATAGAAAAAACTCTAAATTTCCTATTAACCAATTCTGGAATAAGAAAGGTCTCTAGTTTGAAGGGGAAAAATGTAATTTTCCCCTCAGTTTCACTTGTATACACCTAAACAAAAATGTATCTTGTAGAAAATATATTTTAACAAATTTTGCTTTTATTTGCATGATATGCATAGCAGTTTGTATAATACTAGGCTTTAAGGGCGCTTCGCGCCCATCTTCTATTTCAACTTTTAAGTGTGGCTTTATCTGTAAGCATCTTCTCTTTGTACAGTATAAAACAAAAACAAACAATAAAAGTTTGCCATTTCATAATTTTTTTTTGCGCATTTGCAAAATTTTACACAAATTACAAAACTTTTAAACACAAATTTTTATAATTTTGATCATTCATAAACCTTCCCTGGGACGTCACGTGAGGTCACACGCAAAATTTGGGCCCGATCGTTTCAGCCGTTTTTCAGTTTATTTGACGTTTATTGGATACAAACAAAGATGTTTTATTGAGTTGTGACCAGAAAACGGTAGAGTGAGTGTCGTCTACAAAATTTTAAAATCATTCATAAACCTTCCCTGGGGTCACGTGAGGACACAAAATTTGGGCCCGATCGTTTCAGCCGTTTTGACGTTTATTGGATACAAACAAAGAAGTTTTATTGAGTTGTGACCAGAAAACGGTAGAGTGAGTGTCGTCATATTAATTTCTTTTAATTAAGAAATGTGGCTCCGGATTTTGTTATTTGAAATTGTTTCAGGTTAAAATAACTGTCACGGGTTTTCATTTTTTTAAGTTAAAAAGAAAAGAAGACACTGATCATCATGTAACATGTCATCGTTCAGTCAAAAATAAAAATTATTTAATACTAAAATTAGAACATGACAAAATTAAGAGAAAATTACCACTAAAATTATAAATATGCAATAAAATTCAATCATGTTAACCATTACATGGAGAAAAATTCTATTCATAAAGGTAATTTTTTGTCCTTGTGTGTTTCCTCCCAACTATAGCTAAGCCACTGTTTTGGACAAAACATGAAGAAATGAGACAAATTTTACCTTGAAATCTAAAACTTTGGCACAAGCTCCAATCTGCACATCCTCATCATCCTCCAACTTCAAATAATAGAGGACATAAAAGTTAGATAAAAAACTGAAAAATAGAGGACATTAAAAAAATGTTAAAGACAAAAAATTAGAGAATAGTATATTAATTAACTCGCTGAAGTGCGTTCTGTGGAATTTGAAAGACACTTTAAAAAAAACTTAATTTTGAAAGAAAGACAAATTCTGTTTTTCAACCTATGTTACACCTAGGCTACCCATGGGTTTCCTCAAAGAAATTTGATCAAGCCGGTTGGCAAGCTATAGCTGACATATATGATAAAGGAATTGAAGAAAATTAACAAAAAGACAACAAAATATAGAACACATAGGACATTAAAAAATAGACATTAAAAAAAGAACTTAAAAAACAAAGAGAATATAATAATAAAAAGGACGAGAAAAATAGAGGACAGTCAAAAAGGACAAATAAAACGGAAATTCAATTTATATTTATATATTTATATATCGGGGTTTTAAACCATTGTGCCACTGGAAAATAAAAGCTTTGTATTTGTAAAATAAACAATTATACAAGACTATTTAGTATGGTTGCATTGCTGTATAGTGTATACTGAATATTCAACTCATTATTTCTGTATGCAATATAGAGCACTATAAAAGAGAGCACAATAGAATGCTATAAATATATAGTTAGAGATATATATTTTTTTTAACATTCAAGTAAAAATTTACTTTATACAATTTAAGGAAACTCCATAAAAATCTGCCAATAAATTAAAAAAAATGATTTAAGTTTATGAAAAATGTATACTTTGACAGAAGATAAAAGACTGAATGAAGCAAATTCAATGTTTCGTAAACTATTGGGTATATCTTATTAAAGACAATTTAGTTTTACAAATTTTTTCAAGTGTGTTGCTTGTTACCATTATTATATAGGTTTCTCCAAAAACAGGTTTTTTACTAGCTATGTTGCTTGTTAAATTTTGATTAATTTTGTTAAAAAAAATTGTTATCAAAAAGTGTGTAACTTAAGTTCTGTTTGTTAAGATATTTTCCTTCTCATTTTATTAAAATACTTTAAAATTGTGCAATAAATAAACGAATGATTTTTAAAATTGTTCAGGCGTTTATATCTCAGATCAGAGGAGTCACAGTCAACATTTTGCTTCGTGCATTAAAACAAACTTTAGAACCACAACATATCTAATTTTTGAAGAGTCTACTGAAAATTCGAAAACCCCGGTCTTTTTTTAAACTATGCAAAACTCTATCAGTATAGAGCACTTAAGAACTTCAATTGTATTGAGACAAAAATTAATGATCTGTGAATACTTTTACAACACAAGTAGTAAGTACCCCTCGAACGCTTTATTAAAGAATGTCTTTAAAATGAGCGTTTACGAATTCTAATCTAATTCGGATTGAAAAGAGAAATAAATATGTTGAACCCTTTATTCTAAATAATAATGATAATTATAATAAGGATTGTTATATGTTCACCTCCATTTGTTGACTAAACTTTAAGCAGGGCTTCTGACCTGACAAAAAGAAATAAAAATCAAACATATAATAAAGCTAATTTTCCTTCAGTATATTTTGATTTATAAAAGTTTAATATTCTAATATCAACTTAAACGTTTGTTATAAGTTTAATTGTTTTATATCAATGCATGCACTATGTGCAGTGAACTATGCATATGGTTTTATATCTTTTTTTTATTAATTAAATTAGTGAAATATTCAAATTAGTTGATTATGAAATATCTAATTTCGCCATTACGTGATTTCCATTTTAGTAACATTTAATTATTCTCCATGTTTTTTCTTCCCAACCAGGGTTTTTTCTACAACTTGACATCGTACTTCCATTTTTTAATAACAAAAACATAGTTAATTTCTGCCCCTGTAGATATTAATCTATAAACATTTGGGATCGTATTGGATGGACTTAAAAATCATTTCCGCCCAAAATTCTGAAGAAAAAATGACCTGCTAAGCCCTGCTCTACCATACTCTGAACTCCTGCTGCACTAATCACGTATCCAGATCCACCGCTCATATACGAGATATTCTGATCTTGCTGGTAGTGTCCCAGTATCATCTTCTCTCTAGAATAATAACAATAATAATTATAATGTTATTCATAATGATAACAAAAAATGATGCTGATGATAATGATGATTTAATTAATAATTAATTCCAATAACAATGAAAATAATGATAAAAACAATAATAATCATAATGATAAAGATAACAATAATGATAATAATGATGATAAAATAAAACATTGTTAAGCTTAGGAAACCATTTTAAGCGGTGTTTTCATGCTTGTGTAGATTTGCCCC